GGAGGAAAACGTTGGTTTTCTAAAGTCGTGAGGGTATACAAAGCGCTTCAAGCTACAAAAAGTTTCGGACCTTCTGAAGTATGCGCACCAAGATGGCGCACAACCTGAACTCTGAACTCATAATCCGACATCTTATGTTAAAAATCGCCTACATGGGCAAAATGCATAATGTTTTTATGCTCTTGTTGCTTCGTTTGCCCGCTTTTCACTTATCGATCTTTAGATCGGTAAGTATGTTGATAGGTATTTGTGTGTCTGTGTGTTTGTCTGTCTGTCTGTCTGTTAGATGCACGCGATATCTCACGAAGGCGTGGTTGAATCTGCTCCGAATTTTGCATGTGCATTCATCATCGCTTGGACCAGAAGCCTATTGATTTTGGATGAATTATGTCGTATAATTAGCGAGTTAATAATTAATTAGTGATGGGACACAAAGTGTCACTATGGAGTAAGAGCGCTGTTATGGGGGATCCCCTAACTTTCGATCGATAAGTCTTCGGTCTCTGACCGATATTCTCGTTTACTACTGTAATTCGTTGCGTAAATGGGAAAACTAAACTAAATTGTTTTGTGGACCAGTTGGATGTCTGGAGTTACTATGACCACACCCCTATGTTAGAGTAAGCTCATGAAGTAGGATTCATTTCACAGTATAATATTGTATATTATGCTTACAGCCACTCAGACATACTACTCAAATTAACGTCTAAATTTATAATCGGATTTGTCATCGTAACTTGAAAGCAACAACGCTCGCTCAATGATTATTTTTGTCCCGACATCATTGACACAATTCTAACGCTTTTGTCTGAGTTGATTTACGATAGAAAGCTTCCGATCGATCTTCTATTTAAGTGTTTTTTGACACATAGGCATCCTGTTATATAAAGTTCACCACATCAATGTAAGCAACGGCAATTTATTATGGAAATGGTTAAGTGGTTTACCGAATTTTTGTGGTTAACGGCTTGTAAAAACTACTTTTTACGAAATGGTATACCGATTTTAGTTAAGTGTTTTCCGACAAATAAATACACTGTCGCATAAAATATAAAGTTTAACGCACGACATTTTGGTTGAGGAATGGTTAAGCGGTTTACCGAATTTTTCTAGTCTGTATAAAATGACATTACATATATCGTTACCGCTTTTGCATCGATCCTCAAGTTAAGTGTTTTTAACACATGAGCATCCTGTCATATAAAGTTCACCACATTAATGTGAGCCACGGCAATTTGGTATAGAAATGGTCAAGCGGTTTACCGATATTTTGTGATCACCGGTATAAAATTTACTTTCCTACATATGGTTAACGTTTTTTCTGGTTTTATTATATAAACCATTCGATTGATTTTTTTGGTCGAGTTTTTGACAAATATTTAACAAATTACCAAATTTTTGTGGTTAACTGATACAAAATTTCCTTCATACTACCGTTTCATCTCCCTGGTTAGTTACAATAAAGTAAATCGGAACGATTATTTACATTCGCTCATTTTTCATGTTTTAGTACCGAGTGTGATCTATTTAGTGTTGTTTTACCTTCTGCGATTCAAATAATCATCGGTGCGTGACTTGGCAGAATAATCTATTCCTGACAATCTGTTGACGATGCTGTCATTTTCATTTTCATCCTATTAAACCAAGCTTTAGAACCAGTATTTGTTTATTTACATTCCCTCATTTTTCATGTGTTTGTTTGATTAAAAACGATAGCGGTCTCTCAGATGTGAAATGACAAACTCCAATTGTACGTGCCTTGATTGAACGAGGCCGCGTTAACGTTAAGTAATAAAAAAAACAGGTCGGCCGAAAATAGGCAACTGACGCTCTGAACAAAGGCGTAACAAGGAATTTTCAAAAAGAGGTTTCAAGGGGGGAGGGGGGGAGATGGACGGGGTGCTGAAATTAACCCTTATGGTGCCCCACAGTAAACTTTTAACAATTATCTATTGTAACTCATGGATAATGTCATATTTGAGTTACTGCCTTGTTGCCATATTTCGTCAAGTTTTATTAATGCCGTTACTGCTTTTTGGACAGTTATAAAATTAGCCAAGTCATACTTTAATAAGTGATAGCTGAGAGTAAATAATGAATAACTTGTATAAATTGCCTGTGACCGGTAAACATGGGTTTACTAGTGTCTGGTGAGTTTTTCAGAAAATTTCTATGCATAAATGGGTACGACCCTTGCTCAAAATAATTTGTTTTTTTTTTGGGGGGGGGGGGGGGAGGATTCAATTATTGTTAATTATTGTTAATTATTCTTGAGGTCAGTACATATGAAGTAGTTATATTTGCACTACCCTCAAGGACGTGCCCATGGGAGCGACCCTCAAACTCCTCCCCTTCATTTTTGATATGTAAAAAAAATATTCAGTGCAAATGGATTCACCTACATGAAAAGTACACGGAAATGAGCTATTTAGTTGTGTACGCATAACCACATTTCATAATTCAGTCATATCTTTCTCTCATTTTAATGGAATTTTTTAATAAAAACGTCACTATGATAAATAGCTATAATAAAATCTTAAATTAATAATATCGCGTGTCATACCCGTGTCCTATCGCTTTATACTTCAATCCAGGTTGTGCGACCTTTAATACAGGAGAGCCAGGTAGAAATAACTGGGTGCAACCACGGGCCGCACTTTTACTCATAGGCATAAATAATAAATTGGACTCAAATACAGGCTTCGCCACTTAAAGGAAATGGCATTACTCGCGCGTACCACAACTAAATTGAAAACTTGTTTCGTGGACTGCACACAGTGGTGGGATTCAGCCGGTTCGCACCGGTTCTATAGTACCCTCTCACGGAATTTTTGCATTATTGCATTATATATACCGTTACCGTTTTTGCGTCGATTCTTAAGTGTTTTTAACACATAAGCGTCCTGTTATATAAAGTTCACCACATTAATGTAAGCCACGGTAATTTGGTAAAGAAATGGTTAAGCGGTTTACCGAATTTTGTGGTAACTGATGTAAAAATTACATTATCCACATCGGTAACGCTCTTGCGTTCCAGTCCACACTTTTATTTGAAGAGCAGGTGTTTCAATAAACGTAATTATTTTCGGTTTCCCCGCCAAGATGACAGAGTTTGTATTCGAAAACAAATTACGCGTGTCTGTCTCGAGAAATAGCTTTTAACGCTTCAAACCAACCGAAATTCCGAGGTCCTTTCAAATAAAATTAGGATTGACATTCAATTTCCCAATTTCCGTGTTAGTTTTTAAATTACATGGGCGACACGGACTAGCGGTAAATTAAACCATCGTTCAAATATACGGGCGAGACGGACTAGCGGTTAGACCGTTGGAATCAATCATTTTTGCATCCCCGGTATAATAAAAAAAATCTAGAATTTTCCACTAATTCCACAGCCCAGTTAAATAGTTCGGCCTCAAATTTCCTCGATTTGATTCTATCATTCAAGAAATAATAGGTAGACTTACCTCTAAATAAAATTATGATTGACATTCAATTTTCCAATTTCCGTGTTAATTTTTAAAATATATGGGCGACATGGTGGTTGAAGCGCTGGATCTAACAACATTTTCGTCGCAATTTGCGCGCCCGTTTCCTTCCTCCAGGAATATTATATTGCTTTGTTTTTCACCTGCTTGTTTCGGCGTCATTTATTTGAGATGTCGATTTAATCTTGATCTCAAGAAGTCCCAGTGGTGTTATTATAGCCTCATTTGAAATTATGACGTCGATTTGATGACGTCTCATTTACGAAATTTTCATGATGTAAAATTTGCACATTCATGGGCTTCTCACAAGAAGTCTTAGGTAGCAATAGCGGCAAAGTTGTGATTGAGTTTTTCAGTCGGTCGACAATCTAGAAATAGCTTTGAATCAACCAAAATTCCGATGTTTTTTGAAATAAAATTAACTTTGACTTTTAATTTTCCAACTTCTGTGTTGGTTTTCAGTAGATATGCTGGATGGAGATGACTGTTTAGTGTAAATGTTCAAGTAATATTCTATAGTCATTGTAGCATCCCGTAGTTTAAATTTAAGGTTTTTTTTGTTTTTTCTTTATATGAATGTGTTCAATCAAGTAGAATTTTAATTTTAAGTTGTTTTGTTGCTATGGAACAATGTAACTTGTCTTTTAATTATTACGGAAGTATGTGCAGCAATATGTCGCACAACCTGAATCCGCTACACACACACACACACACATACTATTTTCAGGTTGTGCGCCATCTTGGAGGAGGGGTGTCGGATCATCAGTAAAATGGGTTTTTCTCTGTATAATGTGCTGTACGGTACTGCAAGGTAAAATTTAGTAAGTACAGAAATTATTGTGATGTCACATGTAGGGGTGGGCAAAATCGAATATTTTTTTCGAATCGAATAATTCGAATATTTTTAACGAATATATATATCGTATAACAACAACAACAATAACAACACAATAACAAAACGATTCATAGGTCCCTTTCGCCTCCAATAAGTTTTCGATTTAGGGTTGGGTGTTGGGAATGATATGAAAATTCGAATTTCCAGTGCCATCTGCATTTCTAACCTCAACCCTAACCGGACAATTACTAATTTTCCCCTATTGAGCGTTTGCGTGGGTGTTCTTTTTTTGGCGGGAGCTTTGTACAAAGGTTCCCTATTTTTGTAGTCGGCATCTAACTGGTTTTGCTTTGCCTGCCTGATTTATTACACACTGGGTAAGTTAATATGCGGGCATGCGGTGTGAATGACTTTAAACTTGTGAAGTCTACACAGTTAAGTATAACCACTGGGTTAGGCCATCGCGTCCGTAACATTTTAAGTTTAATTCAATTCAAATTCACCCAAAATTGGCGTTTAAAAACAATCTAAAAATACTTTAAATCAAGAAATCATGTCTACTTTAGATGCCTTCATCATCTCACCAATCTTTTCTTTACGTTTTAGATCTCCCGTTACAGAAATAGGTATTTTATTTAATCCAGTATCTGCTTATGAAGCGGATCAAAACAATCCTCTCGTAAAACGTCGTCTGCTATTCTTCACTCCATTGTGACATCAAAGAGCAAAAATAATGGGAATAACTTGCACGCAAAATGCAACTGTGCGGACACAATGCAGACTTAGTGACGGTTATTGTGACTGTACAATAAAAAAGAAATATAAACAATCGAAAACTCAAAAAGGATATTGTTTCAACATAATAACTTTAACAGTAACACTATTATTATGTCTGCCAACGACAGTAAATAGCCTAAAAGGCAAAACATGTCCATCTCAATGCTCCTGCACTGTGGAAAGTATTGTATTTTGCAATAATAAAGGTTTGACATCTACTCCATTAGGATTTACTTCTGCAGTGGAGAAGCTCTACCTTTTTAACAATAACATCACGACTATTCCTCCAAGAAGTTTACAGCCATTTAAGGTAAGTTGGTGGGTTGTATGCCTTGTATTGCGGGATGTTGGTTGTTTAACTACTAAAGCCTCGCTCATCAATAATAACAGTACTCCGACAATCAAAATGTTAGAGCTCAAAATGTTTAATCAGATATTAGAACCTTGAATGTCGCCTCTTGTTAACCAACTTTAGTTCACCAGGCTTCCCTTCTCCGGTGAATACAGTATTCAACATTATTTCTCTAAACTTTGCGTGTGTTAATTTTTACTGGATGGAAAAAATAAACTCGACTATGACTGTCCTACTCTAGGAACTTCTCAACTAGTAATAGATTTATTAAGCTTTATTACCAGCATATAAAACCAGGGGTCCACGAAGTGTTAAGAGTCTTTGGAGGCCTCGGTTCATGAGAGTTTTGGGAACCACTGTAAGAATCATTGAAGCGTGGATAGGCAGAATAATATTGTACTGAAGGTGACGTGCCGATGCTGCCATTTTTACTCGAATCATCCCTGCGTGGGAACCAAATCGTACTTTAGAAAACTATTAATAAATTCATACCAGATGCACTCTTTTATTAAAGTTTATGTAAAATGGAATATTGATATTTAGTAGGACTAAATGAAATGAATTTTCTAATTCATTCTTACCATAGAAGAAAGTCGAGATTTAAGTCCATGCATCTGGAAATATTAACTGGGTAATCGTTTGTCGTATCAGACTGTACTACAAAATACCGTGGTACATTATGTGTTTAAGCCGTTTCACCGGCTATGGCTCCCACCTACATTAAGAAAGGGGTTAACATGGGGTTATTAGGTCTCCCTAATATGGTGATGTATGGATGTGTTTTTCGAAACACATTAATCCGTTAAATTCGTCGGTAACGACTAAATATGACATCATCATTCACGTCATGCTGTGGTGTCATCATTTACATCATTACGACCGTGCTTGAAATTGTGATTATTTTCATTTAGAATTTAAAAATTCTTGACATATCTGGGAATCGAATCTCAAATTTCGCGTTATGGAAGGGAATTTTCAATCGACTAACACAACTGGAAAACATCATGCTACAGGATAACCAGATAACAAAGATAACGGCTGATCTGTTCAGAGGTAAAAATAAATAGAAGTTCATACGTTAGATCATATTATTACCCTACCAGTAATTGCTTGAACACCTCATCTTCCATCCGCTGAAATTGCAAGCTCTAAAAATGGAGGCAATAAAGTTTATTTATGCATTTGGATTTGATATTTCTGGCACTATTTCATAAAAAGAACAGTGCAAAACAAGAGTGGAAGCGAGGTGGCTGAGTGGTTAAGTATTGGACTAAGTAACTTGACAATTGCGAAAGCAGAAAAGACCTTTTAGAGTTTAGACCCGCAAGACTTTGGCAATTATGTATTTCAAGATCCCCATTTGAAAATCCCTGGCTACGTCCCTGGTGTCACACTACTTGTTTGAAGTCATGATGATCGTACTTCCAAAATCGGTAACGCTTTACATGTGACTCTGGAGATGGGGGTTGAGGTTCGGACCACGGTGACCGTACATTTGAACCCACGTACATTTGAACCCATGCGTATATCCACGGGTTCAATCTATATGCGGGTGCTAAAACCCATGGGTTAGGATTAGTATGGGTTTAAATATCCGTGAAACAAAAAAAATTCTATAGGTGCAATAGCATACAGGTGCAATTGTCATGGGTTCAAATGTACGTGGGTTCAAATGTGATGAAACCTCGGACCACTCACCCCTCATTTTATAAATTTTCCTCTCTCTTGAAAATTATTGGCTACGCCCTGATGTCACTGGTTTCTCGTATAAAACCTTGATTAAAAAAAGGCGCGAAAACGTGTAAATAATGTGCCAACATTTTGTCAACAAGTACAACTTACATGACATAACTAATTTACACGTAAATTTATATATTTTGTGTTGATGTTTCTGGCAATATCTAAGTTCATCATACGTCCGGTCTAGTCGAGACGGTCCCAATTCTCACAAGCTCAACAATCCGGTAGACTTAAATGTCTCGGTCATACATAATGGCAGTCATAAATATCAGTCATGTTTGGTATACTGCTGTTAAATTATCTAGAATAACGGAAAGAAAGTAGACGTTTTCTAATTATTTCTATATTACTAAACCTAGGAATTGAATCAAGGTGTGTCCGATCCACACTGTCCCGTTTTATTGGACACGTTTAGTGGCCATAACGATCGTTTCAAAATTTTGTTGTTATTGTTATTGTTGTTTGTCTCCGTCTCCATTTTTAAAAAATCGCTTTTCTCTTCGAATACTGGACCAATTGCTTTGAAATTTTCAGTGGTTAAAGATAAAGATTTTTTTCCAGAAGGCTATTACTTTATTTTTTCGCTATGACGTCATCAAAATTATTGCCATTTGGTGGCGCTACGTGTTCATATATTTGAGCATAGCTCTCTTGTGTTTTGTATATATGTCAAACGTGGCATTATTTCGAGAAAAGACGTTGAAAACCACGGGTTTAGTGGGCAATCTGGCTGAGAGGTATAGGTAAGTCCAGAACCTCTCCCCGTTGATTCGTAAATTCCAGACTATACCCCTATGGCCACCGGCTTCTTGTTTAAAACACTGATAGCAATAAAAGGCGCGAAAAACGTGTAAATAATGTACCAACATTTTGTCAACAAGTACTTTGGTGATTCCCGTTCAGCTCCCAAAGCGACGATGAGTCGTTCGTGTTCACACGGTAATTTTGCTTACGAATTTAATGTCAACACTAGGCGCACTTACTTTGGGGAATTAGGATGTTAAAATTGCTGTTAATTGAAACTGAGCACTCAAAATAAATGTGAATATCACTCGATTAAAAAGTATAAAACGGCGCGAAATTCTGATTCGTGGTGACTTCTGAGACCACGTGGTAAGGTCATACTTTGGCGCTCCCGTAGTATGTGAACCAAGATGGCGGACACCGGAACGTAGTGTGTGTATCAGGTTAGGGTTAGGCCATAAGTTTATTCCATTTTTCATTATTTAGTTTTATTACGAGTTCGGGGATTAGTCAAATGACTCCCGTAGTATTTGTTCCTGAAATTGTGACCCTAACTTGCTACACATACTACGTTACGATGTCCGTTATCTTGGTTCTAATACCACATGAGTATATTATTTATACACTTACTAAAGTAGTGGTTCCAAACTGGAGCCCGCGGACACCTCAGAGGTATCTAATTTAAATTTTTTCCGAATATCTCTATACTATGTTTTTTATTGTATTTTCGGCTTGAAAATTGTGGGCCCACAGCTAATTCAGAGAAGCATAAGGGGTCGCTCGTAGGTACATAAAGTTTGAGGACCAAAGAACTAAAGGAATGAACCATTGATTTATTTTCAAACGCGAAGTCGAATTTCAGTGGGTAGTTCTTTGGTTTTCAACTTTAACGGTGGAGCGGTACCCCAAAGAAACACTTCAGATGCTCGAGAAACACATGTACAATACCTTCAGAGCTGTGAGAAGAATTATACAAACTATAAATATATAAAAAAATTAACCTGATTTCAGAATCAACACATCGCATAGCGCTACAATGATTTGAAGTTCGTATAGTTCAATATTTGCCTATAGACATGTGAATGAATAGAGCACTTTCTAAAAGAAAATGAAAAAAAAAATTAACTAAAACTATCTTATTTCTCAGAGACAAAAGACATGTCTCAGTGTTCACGAGACCAACTTATAATAATAAATAAAGCCATATTGCAATTATCACTTGAATCATCTTTTTTTCGTGTTTTACATATTCATATGACCCAAAAAATTCACTCAAATTATCCTTTTTTTTACACAGGTCTCAATAATTTGGCAAGGATTTACCTTCAAAACAACGAGATATCGTACATCGAACCAGGAGCATTCAGTAACCTCTCAAATCTTGTCGAATTAAAGTTACGAAACAACAAGCTAATGACGATACCAAGATTCGAATATTCTCCGAATCTTCTTCTATTAGATCTTGGATACAATCGGTTCCGGCAGATACCAGACATGACGCTTTCAACGGTGAACGTCGAACAGCTTTTCGTAAGTTTATTTCATTAAACTGTGTTCGGAGGAGGGGGGGGGGGTGCATTTTTGCCCAGAAATAGGAATAGCTACTATTAAAACAGGCGGTGTTGCGTAGAAGTCACCGAGTCGGAGTTAAGTTTCAGTTAATGTCTCCGTACTCCCGCAGTATGTGAACCAAGATGGCAGAAACCGGAACGTAGTATGTGTACCAGATTAGGCCATAATTTTATTACAATTTTCTTTATTTTAGTTCTATTACGAGTTCGGGGACTAGCCAAGTGGCTCCTGTAGTATTTGTGCCAGAAATTATTACCTAGCCCTAACCTGGTACACATACTACGTTCCTGTGTCCGCCATCTTGGTTCACATACTACGGGAGTATTCGTGTCTCGAGATATACTAGTCGAAATTTTAAAAAATTACCTCATGTATGTAGGATTAACTACCTTTTTTCACGATCGTATTACTTAAAAATGTTTTGGCATTTACTGGCTCGTAATGCACCTTCATAGTTCGGTATAGTTTCAGAGAGTCTTGATATTTCAGTGACCCTCTGTAACCTTGCTCATAGATATGTCTTATTCCATTATAGGCGCGTGACGTTGCTGTGAGCGAACTATCCCAAAAATCGTATATTTGCGCCACAATTCATTCATACCCTATATGGCTTCAGTAGTTCTTGGCTTCAGAGGTCGACCACGACTTTGATCAAAAATTGGTCATTTTTACTTCTGAGCGAACGCCTGTATTCTTTTTCCGATATAAGGCTTCTTTATTCCTAGTTCAGTGCCCGTAACTTTGCTGTGATAAAACTTTTTTTGAACATTTACATTTTTTTTCAGTTGCAGAACAACCGACTAACCCAACTAAGGACTTCGATATTCGATGATACAAGCCATCTCAGCCATCTTGATATCAGCAGTAACAGACTGACAGCTGTACCCCAGTTTATTAAGTAAGTGCAAGGATTTTTGTTTGTGACGATTATGGACGCTTTTCACCGATATCGTTATCTATCAATAGATACGGAACTGCTTACCGGACACGTAGAGGACCTATGGATTGTTTTCTAATTAGGTTGTTGTTCTTGTTGGACACGTAGGGGACATAACGATCGTTGCAAAATTTTGTTGTTATTGTTATTATTATTTGTCTCCATCAACACGTATTGAAGAAATCGCTTTTCTCTTCGAATACTGGACCAATTGCTTTGAAATTTTCAGTGGTTAAAGATAAAAATTTTCTCCAGAAGGCTATTACTTTTTATTGTTGCTATGACGTCATTAAGATTATGTGACTCCACGTGTCCATATATTTGAGCATAGCTCAAGCATAGCTTTGTATTTTTCTTCGTATCGTTCCTAAAAAATCTATTACTATCTAGGCTATTACTTTCATTTATTTCAAATAGAAGAATCCCAGTTGCCCTCTATGGAAGAGAATAATTCATACACAAAGCCAAATCGGAAAGCTTCTGATTTTTCAAAAAAAAAAAAAAAAATTCTCACGTATCTATAACAGTTTTACACATCATTGTATGTTGTAAAGGTGCGAAAATGTCTCATAAAAAATTACGACTACTAGAGCAAATTTCTTCAAGCACAATTATTATTATTTTACTTTATATGTTTCACCATTTTGTTATTGGTTTGATTTCACTTTAATTAGCAAGTAATTTTAGCTTTGCAAAAACGAAACTCTCTTCAGGAAGAAATTAACCTAAATTAAATCAAACGCAATTTTAAATGAAAATCGTTTCCTTAATTTTGTTGCTTTGATAAAAGAAGTCTTTGTGTAAAACCAGATGCCGAACATTTTTGAAAAAGGCGATTGTGGATAATTATTTAGGGCGGTTTAATATGTTTTGAACGAATGGTTTAAAAGTCTATAATGAACTCGATTAAGAGCAACTCAAGAACGACTCCGGTTTTGGATGCATTTCGACTCCGACTCCGGGTACAAAATTATTGACTCTGACTACCACAAAAATGTTGAATTTCGAATATTGACCGTGTCGTCGGAGAAAGTCTCCAACGACCTCAACTCCGATCAATCACAAAATAACTCCGGATTGGAAAACCCTTCATTCCGGAAACTAAAAGCTTGACTCCGACCACTCACTTTTGACTTTGATTGCGATAATTTGAACGACTCCGGATTGGAAACAACTTCGTTCCGGGTTCAAAAAGATTGACTCCGATCACCAAATTTTCGCTATCAATGTTTGACTCCAACTCCCACAAATATGTACTGTTTTTGTTGTCAGCTTTGCAAAAACCAAAACCAGATGCCGAACATTTTTGAAAAGGGCGATTGTGAATAATATTTAGGGCGGTTTAATATGTTTCGTATGAATTATTTGAAAGTCTATAACGAAATCGCAATTCGAAAACGACTCCGGGTAGGATAAATTCCGACTCCGGGTACAAAATTCTTGACTTCAACTACCGCGAACATTTTGACTTCGAAAGATTTGCCGTTTTTTGTCTTATTTTGTATGTAAGATTTTGAATATCGACCATGTAGTCGGAGAAAATATCTAACGACCTCAACTACGAGCAATTAAAACAAGGACTCCTAATTGATTAAAATTTGACTCCGGGTGCAAAATTATTGACTCCGACTACCACCAACATTTTGAATTCGAAAGATTTGGCGTTTTTTGTTTTTTTTGTATATGTATGATTTCGAATATCGACCTTGTCGTCGGAGAATATCTTCAACGACCTCAACTCCGATCTATTAAAAAAAAAATCCGGATTGAAAAACCATGCATCCCGGATCCTAAAAGTTTGACTCCGACCACTCACTTTTGTTTATCAAAACTTTGATTGCAAAAATTCGAACGACTTCGGATTAGAAAAAAACTTTGTTCCGGATACGAAAAGAGTGACTTCGATTGACTCCAACTCCTGCAAAAATCTCACCCGCGAAATAGTTGCCGTTTGTACGATTTTTGCTTTTTGTCTGATTTTGTATTTGTGATTTCGAATATCGACCGTGTACCGATCTCAGCTCCGATCAATTAAAAAAATGACTCCGGTTGGATAAATTTCGACTCCGGATTCGAGAAGATTGACTGCGATCATCTACCTTTCAGTATCAATGTTCGACTCCAACTTCCGCGAAAATTTTACCCGCGAAAATTTTACCAGCGAAATAGTTGGCGTATGTACGGTTTTTGTTTTTAGCTTTGCAAGAACGAAACTCCTCTTCAGAAAAAAAATTAACATAATTTAAATCAAACGCAATTTTAAATGAAATGAAAACCGTTTCCTCAATTTAGTTTATTTGATTAAAGGAGCACTTGTGTAAAACCAGATGCCGAGCATTTTTTGAAAGGGCGATTGTGGATAATTATTTGGGGCGGTTTAATATGTTTTGAATAAACGTTTTAAAATACAGACTGTGGCGTGCAGGATGTTTTAAACCTTATTTGGGAGTGCTGATTGGTTGTTAAATTGCTTGGGACTAGATGAAAAGAAGTTTGAAATCAGAATCAGATTTTGTTTTTGCAAAAAATTCAAATGTCCTCAGCCCGGAGTCAACGACTTGATTTTTTCAACTACATAGTCAGGGGCGTACTCAAAGGGTGGGCCCCCTCAACCCAATTTTCGCGGTAGCAGGAGTCGAACTTTTAAAATTCGGAGTCGATGTCGAAATTTATCCAATCCGGAGATATTTTTTCAATTCATCCAAGTCGAGGTCGGCCAGACATCTTCAATTTATTCATTGGAAATAGAGGGAAACATTGCAATAATTTTTTTTCAAATGAGATCTTAACTTCAAATTTTATAATATAATCGATATTCCATTTGCCGTTCGCGTTACACCCTTATTAATAACCCAAAAAATGCTTTTTAAATGAAAAGATTTTATAATAAACACTTCAAAGCAATTATAAGCGGATATGGGTAATTATAGATGGTAATTAAACCAATTAACTAATTTCTGTCTGTGAAATCATAATTGCTTAGTGATGTAATAAAACAAAGTGTAAATGGTTGTAAAAACAAGGCAATAATTGTTCGTTTCCGAGCGCAGATTTGCTTTGAGGGCGCTGCGCAAGGTCGAACGCTTAATTTTCTATTCCTAATGGATATCATTTATTTCTATATACTTAAGTTAGCAATTTATGGCATGTACAGGTTGCTTCAACCAAAAACAATGCCTCCCATTAAAAATGCACAATCCGCATTGAATTAAGTGTGATCTATATATATATATATATATATATGAGGTATACTCCGCTTTATTTTGTCATTTAGTTTTGATTTTATGAATGCAAAGTGCATGGGGCCAACTGTGTGCCCCTGGAACCTCATGGACTGCCGCTTATGAATCACTGCGTTAAAACATCTTACATTCTCTCATAGACAAATTTACTCACAGCAAGATAACATACGCGCACCTAAAAATAAAAACCTCCGCTTTCATTTTATGAATCGTGGGCCCGTTTGATATGTTTCTGTGTGCCCTTGGCCGCTGAGGCTTCATAAACCTCCGGTAATGAACCAATATGTTAAGACTTCTCACGTCTCCTCTTAGGGCGATTTACTCTTACGCGTACGCACTAAGGAGACTAATCTCCGAGTGAGGTTTTGAGAGTTCACTGAAATGGCAAGAGTTACTGAAACTATACGGCAGTAAACCAAACTCTCCTCCGATTGGCCAACGATGTAAAACCGTAGCAACGTTCTAGCAACGATTCCACGCTTATTACTTATCGATCTTTAGATCGGTAAATATGTTGATAGGTATTTGTCTTTACTTATCGATCTTTAGATCGGAAAGTATGTTGATAGGTATTTGTCTGTATGTCTGTCTGTCTGTTAGATGCACGCGATATCTCACGAAGGCGTGGTTAAATCTGCTCCAAATTTTGCATGTGCATTCATTATATCTCGGACCAGAAGCCTATTGATTTTGGATGAATTATGTCGTATAATTAGCGAGTTATTGATTAATTAGTGATGGGACATGCGGTGTCACTATAGAGTCATGAATCGAAACCGCAGTTTTGATCGATAAGTCTTCGGTCTCCGACCGATATTCTCGTTTGGTAACTTGCTATCGCGCTTTGAATGGTCTTTGTGTATCAGGTATTTTTTTTGCATCTATTTCTGCTATAGCAGCTTCTAATGGTTCTAGGAAAATTTGCGGCAGGAAATCTCGCTGACTAGTGGACTATGGTATATAAATTATAATGGGTTAGTTTAATTGTGTGTTATTTTAAATATGACAAATTATTTTACAGATCTCTCGTTGGAATGCGGACCCTTAACATGTCTTTGAATACGATCAAGACGATTCCGCAAGATACGTTCACGAAGCTGACAAAATTGAAGGTTTTAGCCATGCGTGGCATGGCATTGAAGTCACTGCCAGATGGCGTCATACCACCCCGCGTTATATTGAATGTATTGGATATCACTGACAACGACTGGGATTGTGGCTGTGACATTAAGTGGATGCCACAATATATAAGGTAATGCCACGCCATATACTGTTTTACAATAAAGACAATCAAGTTATCAAAATATAAAATAAACGGGAAATATGACGTCATAGTATAAAATAACGTCATAATATTACGAGTGACGTCATATTGCAGGTTAAAATATGAGAAAAGAGACGGAAAGTGATGCCATAATATGAAAATGGCGTCATATTCAAATTTAGGATTATAAAAGTTGATTCAAAATATTTTTTCCAAATCAAGGATTGACGAACACAAAAAATGGCGTCAGAATACAGGTTATGAATTGTGACGTCATAATATTGAAGTGGCGTTAAACTGCGAATTGAACAAATATGAGACGCCATATTATCAAGAGATAGTTCAACTTCAATTAAATAGCAATTGAAAAATACGTAAATCTCCTATTTTTCGTTGCTCTTATACGCCGTCAAATGTACAGATAAAGTCCAAGGCTAGATTAGATTAGGGTCCTAATAATCCGACACGCTGGGTAAATTAATTTAAATTAATGTAAGAATAAAACCAAACACAATATCATAAACTTGAAATTAAATTTGTGAAATTAGATTAAAATTTTTCAAAGTTTTCCAATATCAGACACCCGCGGTGATAAGTCAATATTCGATCGGCAACCTAAACGAATCTGAGAATATTTTACAATAATTTGAGGCAGAGGTTCCTAAACATTCCAAGTTTTTGTTTGGGGAACATAAAGTCGACTGTCGATTGAATAAACTCTAACTTGCCATTCTGAACCGCTACTTCCACGATTAACTATAAACAATAGTGCCGATAACTTGTCTCGCATTCGGGGGGTTACATGAACCTATGCCCGATTTTGACCTGTTGGTAACCCCGGGTCAGGAGTTTATGAGTTTAGTGATGTATGTGAATGTCAACTTTGTGTTTTAACAATTGCGCCATTAATGACAATTTTAACATATTTCAACTAATCATCGTAATGGATGTTATGAATATCCAGAGTATTCTGATTGTCCAAAGCCTTGTCAAGAGCAAACACTAAAATCTCTTCAATTTTTTCTACTACTCTATTCAACTCCGAAGCATGGCCATAATTGGCATTTCCGATAAATATCAACTAATTATCATATTGTTACAATTATAATCCGCTTGTCTAATGCCTACCTCAAAGAGATAAAAAAAAATTAAGGAGCATATTTCCAACCTATCAGCTCCAATAGGCCATATTTAGCATTTTTTAACTATTGCAACTAATTACCCCATCCCACGTATCACTACACTTGCACTGCCTTGCTTTAAGCGGACACTAACATTTACATTCACATTTAGTCCACCACCCTTCCCACTCCTAAGCGGCCATAATCAGCAATTTCGACTGATTTCATTTAATTATTTTAATAAATGCTATAATTAAACCCCGCGTTTCCTGTGACGTCTGACATGTTTCCTTTCATGTAATTGTGGAATTTATATCGCAAATTCCTGAGTCGGACTGGAGTATTTTTGTGGTTTATGAAAGCGTTTTATTTTTTCTGTGGGTTTTTTAAGTTTTTGGCATTTTCACGGGTTTTATGATAAGAATAATTAATCACGGGGAAAGTTGATAAAACAGCCCAATCATATAGTGAACCAAGCTTGTCCGGTTACCAGTGACGTCTGTTAGGCTTCCTTCGTGTAATTGGTGAATTTATATCGCAAATTTGTGAGCCTGACTGAAATATTTTGAGGTTTAAGAATGTCGTTTAATTTGTTTGTGAACTTATTGGAATTTAGGATTTCCAGGAGATAGGGTGATTCGCATTAAAATCGAAAAGACGACTTTATTTCATGTGACATGAGAATAGCATTTTCATATTCATGTCGGGGAAGAGAATATATCATTAGACGGCCTAATTAATGTTATGGCGATCCACGGCCTTTCGTCGGGCTACCGGTCACTGTCAAGTACGGGATAAGTCAGCCATTTATTTCATCAAGGATTCTAACCTACAACCTTCCGAAAACACCTCTGATTATTAAAACTCCTTTCCTTCTTGATAACCTAATTCAACGCCAAAAGCACATAGATTCCAACAGATCCTTTAGCTTGATTGTCTTAAGACATGTTAGAAGCATTCATGTGTAAATCTTCAATGTGTTTTTTTTTCTAGGATTTTTCGTCAAGCATTTGTGCGGCCAGAAAGTCTGAAATGTTCGTCGAGATCTCGACTAAGAAACAGAGTCATTGAAGAACTAACCGAAGACGATTTTGACTGCTCGAAGTATGAATTTTATAAATGTATATATTTTATAAACGGTATTAAGGTTGTAGACCAGGGGTGTGCAAACTGCGGCCCGCGGGCCAAATACGGCCCGCCAGAAGAAGTTGTGCGGCCCGCGGAGAAATAACAATTTCGAATGGTGTACCCGCAAAACGAGTATTTATTCTTTTTCGTCGCAAAGTCCCTACCAGTCATATTAGCAAAACAAACTAGCAAAATTCTGTTGCAAAATACACGATTTATATTACAAAAACGTGTTTCACACTGCATTCGTTTGAAGTCGATGTGACAAAAAATTTAAATAGCAGTTTCTTCAGAAGTTTATGCGTTTTAAATCTACTATTTCTGCAAGAACCCCTAATAATGCCGTAAGATCAATAGCAAATATAGGCAATTTTTGTGCTTGCAACTACCAGAAAGCCTAAATTAAATAAAGGTGCGGCCCGCGGCTTCACCCAGTTACTTGTATTTGGCCCGCCAATAAAAAAGGTTGCACACCCCTGGTGTAGACCATTGGTTTTCAAACGGTGGGACGAATAGAATTCAGAGGTGAAGGGAAGGTGAGAGTAAAAAAAAGGTTTTTTCTGTTTTATACATAGCGATTTTTCGGCCCCGCAACACTCTTGAAAACCTACTTTTCCGATCCACGGCCCGCTGCCTGTCATGGCCTAACGTGGCAATTTGAAATTTCAGGATTTGAAAAATCCCTGCTACGCCCTGCCTGATGGAACTAAGCAAAAAAATGACCTTGAGTACTCGAAGTACAATTTTTAAATATTTCCAGATGAAGTGTCTTAAGACCGTCGCCTTTTCTAACTACGGCTTCCAATTGGGTGTTAAGTATTTAAGATCTATGACTAGGGTCGGCATCAGGAGTCGTTTGGATGGATTGAAATCCAAATTCTGAAAAACAAAGACTGTGAGTGCGTGTTGAAAGAAATTGTAACTCCGACTATGGCGTACATTTGGTGCTTATTAAAAGTTTACCGTTCAAAATTTTAGTTCTGTCAAACGTTTGCCTTGGTTATCTTCTTCTTGTTGTCATCCCGGCTATTGGCGGCACTTTTGGGGTCGACTTGCCACGCTTCCCCAAATCAAACTATCCTGAACTAGCTTTATGTTCGTGTATAGCTGGTTGCCACTCCATTCTTTAATTACGTCATACCACTGTTATAGTAAATGTTTACATATTTGACTCCTACTTCACAAACATGCCATTGGCTTACAATGGGTTTCCTGGTTAAAAGGTCAAAGTGCAAAGTTCGCTGGTAGATATGGATGAATGGTGGACTATCGTTGGGCTGTATATGTATTTCCCTTCAACAATCTTTGTCAGTTTATCATTCTCTCGCCGTGAAATTAAACCCTTTACACTTCATTTAACAGGACCAATACACTGGTACCACCACTGGGTTCTGTATCGCCACCCCCTGGAACACCGCCTACGACACCTAGTGTTACAAAAACACCATGGTCCGTTAACCCGTGCGATGTTTATCCTTGCTTTCATGGAGGATCGTGTTATGCTTCGAAACGTTTGCCGAAATGCCGGTAAGTATTACATTTGAAATTTGAATAGCGTTATTTGACGTCAGCATTTTTGATAAGCGATACAGACATTCGCATTGGATAAGCTTTTGTACAAGATGTGTACCAAGATGGCGCACAACCTGAACCTTAACCTGGTACACAATAACACATACTATGTTCAGGCTGTGCGCCATCTTGGTATGAATACTTCAGGAGCACCCAATCTTTTGAACAAGATGGTACTTTGTATAGAATTTCGACATTAGTTAACATTATCAACTCATCAAGGGGGGATTAACTCGGGCCCCTAATCTGATCACTGGACTAAGTAATCAATATGGCAACCAGTAACATGTGATTACAATATGTTGAGAACAAGTGTAATAAAGTTTCCGAAGTCAACATTAATTCAAATTCAAAATAATTAAACCTCGTTTTTTTTATTTGAATAATAACATAAAGTATCTCAATTCAACAACAGTAGTTAAAATTTTCAGTCAATAATCAAGGGGGTGCATTTTTAAACTTGGTCACGGGCGCCATTTTACGTAGATAAGTCACTGGCGCCCACTTAAAAAATTGATGCATTTTCTTGTTTCCAGTTGCACGAAAAATTGGACCGGTTCGCAATGCCAACAATCGCTCACAACACCGACTACGACGACTAGAACAACTACAGCATCATCGACTATGCCGACTACAACAACAAAACAAGCACACCGACCTTCGCTTTTAATCAACACAAATTCAGTAACTGAAAATTCAGTCGAAATAATACTCCCCATAACAGAAAAAGAACTACTCGTCTCCATTGCAGAAGTGGGGCAAAAACGGCCCCCAAAGGAGTTCAGCATAACCCCAAAAGCGCACCCATTTACAGTCAAAGGTCTTGAGCCAGGACGATTTTATAACATCTGTATTCATCTACCGCTAGTGGGCAGTGGAATGTCATCTAAAACTAAGGATACGTTATGCGGTTCCGTGAAAACCTCCGGTCGACGGATATACCAATCCTCAGTGTATACTGATATTACGGTAGTCCCAAGTCCCGGACTGGCAAGAGACGAAACTACAGGAATACGCCAGCGTGATAAGACTGAACCTGCGATACCGGGAACAGGAGACAAATTCCGCAGTGGTCTAAATCCGGAGACGACTCCAACCGAAAGCACCGAATTCCAAATTTTGTTGCCTGCTGTTGGGGCGGGAATCGGCGGTCTTGTAATAGTATCATTACTAATCTTATTCTGTTACTGCTACAGACAAAAACGACTGATAAAAATGAAACAGCAAAACAACGGGGACTACACACCCGGATCTCCGTTAGAGACGACACAATCCGATATGGAAATGTCTACCCAAGTACATCACCATGTACATAACCACTACACAGCCACAGGTATGGACCCAAACGGGATACAAAGTTCTCCAATAAAGCAAAATACCCCGAATACGAGACCAAGTAATGCACAAAGCAGTACCTTCATAAACAACTCGAATTCAAGAATCAGCATTCCAAATAAACCAGGGTCACTGAGTGGCGCTAGTGATTCGAGCGGAAGTGTACCCCGCTACGCGGATTCGTCACTTCAATACCCTCATTCGCCAAGTTTTCTTCCTCCATCACCCCCTCTGCCGGTACAAAATATGAGCGGCATTCCGCCGCAAGTTGGCGGAAGAGCAGCTGATTATCAATACAGGAATAACCAAAACAACAGCAATAACTCCAGGGCTTCGTTTCCAAATAACCACTGTGGAGCGCCATTGAGGCGATACGAATATGAGCCAGAAATATTAGATGACATGCAACCACTAGTAGGCGGTACAGGACAATATTACGGAGCAACTGAAGGACAAATTTATCCTGTCAACCAAAGACACGGAACCACATATATGGCCCCATCGGGTCCTGTAGCATTCCCACAAACGAACTCGAGGTCCGCTTTTCAGCCGATTCAGAGCCCCCGGAACACTGTACGAACCCCCACTTCCGAAACTGCGCCAATAATAACTCACGCCGGCACGGGCCGCGTAATTCCTTCGCAAGCTTGCTTTAATAGGAATATAATAAACGATGGTTTGCCGAGGTATCATGATGGAGTACAAGTAGTGTGATTATCCGGAAACTAAGTTTCCGCAAAAGTACGGGATCAAAGGTCATAGTGCAAAGTGCACTGATGGAGACGAACGAAAAGGGTACTGTTGTTGGGTTTGTGTTTTTACCGAGAATACTTATGCGCAAACCGATTTTGCCATGAATTCCACTTCATAGGCTTATTCTAAGCCAGTGGTCGACAAACTGTGGGTTACAGAGCATTTTCTAGTCATCCCCCGAGAAATTTCAATTATGGCAGTAATACACAAAGTTCTATAAATCCAAAGTTACATAAAAGGTTATTGTTTATATATCAAACGATCGTACATTTTATTCATTTCAACTAAACAAAGCTATTTCGTGATTGAATTTAAAAATTTCCAACGAAATTATTGGGGTTGAAACCTTTTTCATTTTGCTATTTGGGCTCACTTAAAATACTTTGCTCAAAATACCCCTACTCTAAGCATTCCCGAAAAATTACTTTTCCGCGCAAGAGGTTTTTTCTTCGCAAAAGTACCACACATGTTGACGCCACTATATTTCTTCTATTTACACAATTTTGCCGAATATTTTTGACTGTGTTTATATTTTTTTTTTTGTTAAAATTTGTTTAAATTCTAAATTCTTGGGAGTCGGGAGTTCATACTTCAATGGCGGTGCTTGGAGTCAAAATTTCTATCAGCCTGAATTGTTGTTCTCAGATGTCACGTTTTTTTTTTACAAAATAACAAATATTTGTTCTTATTTGATGATAGGAACCGCAACTCAATTATTAATACTCCAACTGCAAAATGATATTAGCTTTCTAAGAATTTTTAAAGTTCCGTTTTCAATGCCTTTCTCTTATTTTACGCTTCAGTTGTTTTATTCTGTTTATTTTATGTTCCATCTTTCTTGTAATGATATCGGTCGGCCCTTCTAAAGCATAACAGTTCCTAAATATTATCCGCTGCTTATCTTGAGCATTGAACGTAGCAAAAGCGCAAGGTATCTCATAAAAGTACGCTTTATATTCCTAAATTGGATTAGTTGTTGATTGTACAGTGCTTTTTTTATACTCGTGCCTACATTTGCGGTAAGACATGAAGTCGTAGCCTTTTCAACACCCTTTTGCTCTATTCTTGAACGATTTACTGAAAACCAGAGATTTTCTGGCTTGCTATCAATAATCCTTTCACCAAATGAACCGAACGGGTTAGATGTCAATGCGCGCTTATATGCCTTGGATAACTTCAACAGCGAAGTACTTAAGATATTGTTATTAGGACCGGGAATTTCAGGGAAAACACTTTAACCGTTAACCGGGTAAAATTAACCGGTTAACCATCTGAAATCGGTTAACCATTCCCAGCCCTAATTGTTATATATCAGTGGCCTCCATTATCTGATTTTGTTCGGAATAAAAGACACGAATGAGCGCCGTATTACGTCTTTATACCAAAAAAATTGAGCTGGGTGCGCTCTCGGCGCCAACCCCAAAATTTAAAATTGAACATCTCGATCGATTATTCCCTGCCCATCAGGATAAATATGTAAATTCTATCCAACCCACTCCCCCAAAAAGAATTCCTGTGAAATCATCTTTGCCTTTTTTCTTTTTAGTTTATTACTTTTTATTGCTATTTCAGATTTGTTTTTTACTTGTTACCAGAAACATCAGACCGGATAATGATTCTAATATTAGTGATAATCAAGCTTCCTATGCGACACTATGTTTCTATTTCATGAATATTATTGCAAATAATTTGATGAGTCAATAGTTTATAGCGGGGTTTCTCAAACTGTGTTCCACGAGCTTCTTCGGAGCGTCCAAGGATCGAAATTGCAAATAAATTGGTCGACATGGCGATCTCGCCATACTTCGGCGCCTCCAGGTCGCATATTTGTCTTATTTTTACCTTACGCTTAAATATTCTGGTAACCATCCATAAATTTCACCTTCTGATTTCTCGTTGTTCCACGAGGCGAGATAAAAGAGTGGGTGTTCCGAGACAAAAAGGTTTCAGAAAATAGTTTTATCTTACTTTCGCCAGAGCATAACCCGACTCACCAAACTTTTTTTTCCCCTAAACACCTACGCTGTTTATTTTATCTTGCTTCGCGGAACACCGAGAAATTAGGTAGAGAAAAATGTAAAATTGATAGATTGTTTCCCCAATTGGAGGTGTAAAGTGCTGTAAATTGACAATTAAAAATCTACGTTAACGATATTAAACAGTTAACAAAATTGTGATTTTCAAGACTGACACGATGCTTATCTGTCTGTTTAGATAGCAAGACCTGTTTGTCGCCAGTTGGGAGATCTAATTTACGACCCAAGATCGTAGAGATACGGCTGGGATCGCCATGTCGCCAAGTTCGATCCTTGTTCCGCGGAACACTTCCGCGAAAAGGCTCCGTAACACAGTAACGCTGGCACAACATTATCTCCGCTTACAAACGTTATATTCAGGTCGCTACAATAACTTAATTTTTACTTGTTATGATTAGCTGCTGCTTTATGTACTTCTGTCTGTGCTTTCACTAAAGTTGATTTGAAGCAGTTCGTATCGGAATTACTACCCTAGAGACCGAGGTACAAATCCAGGATTAGAACCCCTGATTGTTGGTTGCTTCCGAAGTATTCGTACCAAGATGGCGCACAACCTGAACACAGTATGTGTACCAGGTTAGGATTGTTCAGGTTGTGCGTCATCTTGGTACGAATATTTCTGGGGCGCCGATTGTTGTCTAAAGTCTTTCAAAGAGAAGTGTGAAACACTTGAAAGTTTAAACCTGCGAAAAAAATGTTAAAAAGATTTTGCAAAAGTCTTCAACTTCGTAATAAAACGATGACTAGTCTTTGCTACTTCTGTGCCAATTTATGTTCTTGAATTATACAGCATGCATTTTTATATAAGTTCAATATATGCGTTTACAAATATATTCTCATTTTGATATGTTCATGAACTGGAGGGTACAAAGGTTAAAGGCAGTTTACAGGGGGAATCTTTCAATGAAGGCAATGACTTTTGCTTGAGCACCGCCGCGTATATCAGTTCTAAAATGGGCCCATCGACTGGCGGATCTCACCAAGAGGAAGAAACGAGCTTGAAATCGCACCCGTCATCTGGATGGTTACAAGACTCGCGAGGTTATCAATTTCGATCATACAGCACCGCAATAACCATACATTCGACCGCATTTTATCCCCGCCGGTTTCTATACATCAACGCAGAAAATCCGGTGCTCCCGACGTATGTGTACCAAGATGGCGAACAACCTGAACACAGTATGTGTACCAGGTTAAAATTCAGGTTGTGCGTCATCTTGGTACACATACTTTCAGAGTGCAGAAAATCCGACATTGTCGAAAGGGCTATCAATAATACAGACTGTTAAAACAAGTTTTTGTGTATTTTAAAATGCATATAAAAGAATTGAAATATATATTCGTCGCACAGGTTAGACCTGGGGTGTGTAACAGAGGGCCCGCGGGCCACAACCCATTTATTGTGGCCCTTGTAAACACTCAGATTGTTCCCCATTGCACATAAAATCCAAATCAGACAGTTTATGTTTGAAAAGGCGCACACGGGTAAGCGATAGCCTCTTTCTCTCATCCTTCCTTTCCCGCGGCTTCTGGTTATCTCTATAATCTTTTAATTCGATGTACACACAGAAAATTATTCTTCTCTGTGGACTAGCGAGATGTTTGAAGTGGTTATATAGCCCAAAAACGTTTTCATAGCCCTGGACTAGGTCGATAAGGTTTTATACATCCCGTCCATGTTATAATGACTATTTAATGACACATTCATATAAATCGGTCATATATGACCGTCTGCTTAGAAGATCGGTAATAAGTGCCAGCAGATAACAGCTTTATCTGGGACATTCGACATCACGGTTTATTTCTGAATCAGTTTTCATCAGTCATTTTATCGCCTGTTATGTTGAGTATGAAGTCGAAATAAACCTTAATTGCTTAGTCATGCTAGACTGACTGAATAATTGAAATAATGAAACTACATCACAAGTCATAAATCTCAACACCAGCATTATGCTGATTTGCTCAGTCAACCGTGACTGACAGAACTACTATAATGAAACTAGCCACAAGCTTATTCTGCCAGTCTCCATGTTATTTATGATGTCAAGCATGACGGACAGAATAATTGCACCAATATAACATTAAACTACTATTTCTGTTGAGTCAAGCGTAAATGACAGAACAAATACTGTAATAAACAGTGGCACAGATTCCTGGTAACATTCTGTCAATTTGTTCAGTCAAGCATTACGGACAGAATAAAATTCATTCTTGCCAGCCATCAACTTCTTTCAACTGCGCTAGAGAATCTGCCAAATACTCAAGAGATTCTGATATGATTTCCTTGTGAGATTCCTGGAATTAAGAATAGTAAATTTAGGTCAGGGGTGAGGATTTTGAGATTCCTGGAATTAAGAATAGTTAATTTAGGTCAGGGGTGAGGATTTTGATATCTATCCTAGGAGAGAAAAAGTTGATAAGACAAATAAACCATATGGCGAACCACGAAATCTCTCCCGGTTACCAGTCCATGTCGGGTATGGGACTAGTTAGTCAGTTATTTTGTTTTTAGATGCATGGAATAACGAACCTCTTTTATTTCTTTCATAACTTCTTCTAACATGGTTGATGACTGCTCAATATTTTCCTGAATTATTTTCAATCTTTCAAGATCAGCTGCTTTCTGTAAAATCATGGAATATTCAGTAAATGAACATTTACTAAGATCTTTATAAACAGAATGAAATGTTTGATGAAGTAATTCGACAACTTGTTCCTTAATATTAATATTAAAATAATTGTTAGCTTAGTTTCCCTTCTGATATGTTATTTTAAAACTCTTTGTAAATGTTTGAAAGTATGAAAACTATTTCCCCAAAAAATCATATAAATTAATCATAGTAATGAATACTGAAACTTATACATAATTATTATGCTATTTCCGTTTTTACTGCTAATTTTGAAATATTTTGCGGGATAATATCTTGAGTAGTTTATTGTGTTAATATTTTTAAAAAGACATATGGGGCACCAGCGCACTTGGGGCTGAAAAAACGCAAAATCCGGCCATGATCGCAGATTAAAGGTCTAACATTCGAATGTAATGAATTGGAGTGAAGAGCTCCAAAAGAGACGAAAGGGCGAATTTGACAAAAATACGTTACCTTAGCCCTCTCTTTTTCTTCTAACGCTTCCTTTAATTTCTTGTCTTCTTCCAAAGTAGCAACTTCGTCTGAAATGGAAAACAAAATTCTAAAGTGACCTGGTTTTGATTTTGTGGCCTAAGCCCTGAAACATTACAGGGTTGGATTTAAGTGATGACCTGGCGTGACCAAAATGAAATAATTTACTATTCCAAGTACAACCTAACATAATATTTTTGATATGGAATATCGAATACAGCGTGTCCAAAACATTTCACCTGTTTTTATATTACCAAGAATTGAAAATTTCTTTGTCTTTGTTTATTGATAGTTCTCATTGTGCTTGTAGTTCTCATTTATCATACAATATAAGTTACTTAATCCTACAATTGTTATTACTATGAGATATAAAATCTAAAATAGGTAACATATGGGTAAGAGTATAGCCAGGATTTCTGAAGTTTCTTATGGCCAGGTTAAACCAAAACAGTTAGTGGATCTGATCGGAGACCGAAAAACACAGGTTTTCAAGTTTCGTGAGGGTCTAAAAAGCATTTCATACAATGAAAAATTGCTATGCATGATACAAAAAAAATTCGGTGCTCCCGAAGTATGCGAACCAAGATGTCGGACATCGGAACGTAACATGGGTAACAGGTTAGGGTTAGGCGATAATTTTTTTTCCAATTTTCCTTATTTTAGTCCTATTATCAGTTCGAAGACTAGCCAAGAGTCTCCCGTAGTATTTATACCTAAAATTATGGCCTAACCCTAACCTAGTACACATATTACATTCCGATGTCCGCCATCTTGGTTCGCATACTTCGGGAGCCCCAAAAATTTTTTTTGCATTTCAAAAGAGGGGGGGAAGGTTTCGCTAGAATGATAAACAGGGGAGCCATGAAAAGTAGGGAACCGCTGCCCTATTAGGGGGCCTAGAGGGCCCAATTTGCAAAACTGAAGAATATGAGTCTCCTTCTTACCAACTTCCACAATAACATCCTGATCCATCTTTTCAATAACTTCATCCACACGCCGAAAACTTTCTGATGGGGCTTCACTGCTTTCTGTTGCTGATTCCGGTTTCTTGTCTTTGGAAACTGAAATTAAATAAATAAAGGTTTTTATTTAGGTTTACTCGAAGCGAGTGTATGAGAAATATCGGTACTCGCGTAGTATGTGTACCAAGTTAGGGTTAGGGTATAATATTATTCTGATTTTTTCTTATTTTAGTTTTATTACGAGTTTGGAGACTGTCTGTGTTAGCCAAGTGAATATAAATAGGTTTCAGTCCCTTTACACAATTTGATGTAAAGTAGGCAAACAAAATTAGTTACCACTGTATCAGTACACAGTGGAGTGCCCAAAAATTACCAGGTTCATAAACTTGTTCTGAGAAATCATCATAAAAATAAAAGATTGAGCGAACCGCCTGAAGTATGCGCACCATGATGGCGCACAACCTGAACTCAGGTTGTGTACCAGGTTAGGGTTCAGATTATGCGACATCTTGGTGCGCATACTTCAGGAGTACCGATGGAGCATTACCAACCTGTTTTATTACTATCAGAATCTTCTTTTTCTTTCTCATCTTTACTTGAAGTTCCATTAGTATTCGGTTCCTCATTTGATTCGGATTCCACAGGAGTTTTCTTGGTTTTCTTTTTAATTGGCTGGATCTTCTTAGCGGTGTCAGTCTTCTGTGGATTTAAAGTGCATATCACATTACAATCCTTTCAACAACAATGCAGGGCGCTCCATAAGTATGTGTACCAATATGGAGGTAACTAATTCCGTTCCCCTACTTTACATCAAGTTGTGTACAGGGACTGAAACCCATGGGCAGGGGGGAATATTCACTTGGCCAACACAGACAGTCCCCGAACTTGTAATGGAACTAAAATAAGGAAAATTGGAATAAAATTTTTCCTTTCGGGCCGCATTTGGCCCGCGGGCCGCAGTTTGCACACGCCTGGTCTAACCTATGACAAATTGCACACTTACCTTTTCATTCTTATTGCTGAACTTTGACCCTGAAACCGGTTTTGATTTCTTTGATTTGTCAAAAGAGTTGTTGCTTCTGGAAAAAGATATAAAAAGGTTAAAAAACATAACAAAATACTTTACAAAAGAACCAATAAAAAAGGAATTACAAAACGTTAGTAGATCTGTGAAAAAGATAAATTATCAAATATCTCTCGAGAGTTGGGAGTTATTTTGAACTACTTAATGATGACAAAGTCAAATTTTTATACGGAAATTAAAAAAGCATAAAGCCTCAGCATTCTCAACAGATAGTTAAAGTAATTAAAAAGGCACATATTTCGAATATTTTATTAATGAAATTCAGTTTTTTCGAAGTCGAAATGTCATTTAAACTGAATTCAAAGCTAACATTTCTGCCAGAAACCGTATGTTGTGATTTTAATGCAGGGTCGTAGCCAGAAGGGTCGAGGGTCAACACCCCCTCTTTAAAAGTAGGAAAAAAGGGATTTTTGTGTTTCATACATAGTAACTTTTCATGTCTTGAACGCTATTTAGACCTTAAGACTCTTGAAAACCCATGGTTTTCTGGCCGGACCCACTAGCTCAGGGTGGTCCGAACTCTGGCCCGCCTCTTCATTCCCAAACCCATTCCCTTCAAACCCAGGCCCGAGGGCCATATGTGGCCCGCCGCTTCGTTTTTTGTGGCCCGCGTCACATTCGGAGAGGAATCAAAAAATCGCATTTCGTGTTGTTTCGTCATAATCTTAACCAAAAAATCTTTTGACATATTGTTGCGTCCCTAATGTCACTGAATTGACTAGTATTATGGCTTGCTGAGGCAACTAGCGAAGTTAAACGAGCGAAGTTCTTGGCACTATTGTGGCCCGCGAACAATGCAAAAGTAATTTTGTGGCCCGCGGAGCTGCCAATCTTGGACCACCCAGCACTAGGTGTTACAGTCAAGCTGAAAATTATAAATTTCGGGCCCTGCGCTCAAAATTCCTGGTTTCGCCCTTATTCAAATGGTACAAAGTAAGAAGCCTTTCCAGTGCTTTACAGCCTTGATTGGAACAACGCCTCACCTATCAGATGAGATTGATCTTGGTCTTCTTCTCCTGTTAGGCCCCTTCATCATACTGCTGAAATCTCGGTTCATTTGCTGTAAAAACATCAGAAATAATCTAAATCTTTCAAGTTTACACACCTGTTAGAATGCAGTGTATGTGTACGAGTAAACATTTAACTTTGTGGCATTCGATCATCGACCTATTAGTTTAAATCAATGGTTCTCAAATGGGTGGAGGGGCACACAGACACTTTTTTGAGGGGGGGGGGGGAAGATAATAAAAAATTAAATATTTGTTGGATTTGATCTTGCCCGCCTTATTTTAGATATTTACATTTCTATATTTTGGAAAATTACTTCCATCCACATGTTTTTGGAATGAAAACACACTTTCGCCTTACTATCTGGTATTTGTAGCTTATTGTTAGCAAGTTATTACTTATTGATTTTAATCGGTAAGTATGTTGATATAGGTATTTGTCTGTCTGTATGTCTGTTAGATGCACGCGATATCTCACGAAAGCGAGGATGAATCTGCTCCAGATTTTGCATGTGCATTCATCTTATCTCGAACCAGAAGCCTATTGATTTTGGGCAAATTATGTCGTATAATTAGTGAGTTATTAATTAATTAGTGATGGAACACAAGGTGTCACTATGGAGTAAGAGCGCTGTTTTGGGGGATCCCCTAACTTTCGATCGATAAGTCTTCGGTCTCTGACCGATATTCTTGTTTTTGAAGATGGGCACAAGACTTGACAAATTATAAAAAGAGGGCGTGGTTTGAGTAACCACTGGTCTAAATCATGGGTGTGCAACAGTTCCTGTCAGTGGGCCATAAAACTAACTTCAGGTGCCCAGCTGGGCCACACAAAAAAATTTGTTTTTTACATACACACAACGAATTACAGTAATAAAGGCCATGTTGAGAGCCTTTATACCCATAACTTGAGAGATTATGATTTCATGCTTGATACGGAAAACTCTGAGTGTTTACAAAGGCCAAACTGAATGGCTTGGCGGGTAGGACTGGGCATTTTCGAATACCTTGTGATTTCAGAATAGAATCGAATAATTTTTCGAATCGAATCTCGAATACTTGAAAATATAAAATTGTAAGCGACTTTATTATAGTAATTAGTCCTCTCAACAAATGAATTACTGAAGACATAGAATAAATCAATCAGATACATTACTGAGCGTTCACACAGTATAACAAACACGTTTTATCAATAACTCACTACAGAAAATAGTCATATGTTAGAATTTCGTTGAATAAATATGACTTTAATGAAAAAAAAAATTGGGGAATTCACCTCGACCATTAGCGGAAAGATAAAAACAAGATGGCGGCGATTCGAAATTCCCATCTGAACCGATTCGAATAATTTACTATTCGATTCGAAATGCCCAGCCCTATTGGCGGGCCGGGTTGGAGCTCTTGGGCCGCTGTTGCAACACCGCACCAAACTCCTGCAGCGCCAAAGAAAAAACTAGAATTCGGTTGGAAACCGAAGACTTATCGATCGAAGGTTAGGGGATCCCCCAAAACAGCGCTCTTACTCCATAGTGACACCGTGTGTCCCATCACTAATTAATTAATAACTCGCTAATTATACGACATAATTCATCGAAAATCAATAGGCTGCTGTTCCGAACTATGATGAATGCACATGCAAAATTTGGAACAGATTCAACCTCGCTTTCGTGAGATATCGCGCGCATCTAACAGACAAACAAACAAACAGACAAATACCTATCAACATACTTACCGATCTTAAGATCGATAAGTAATCAGTACAGAGCAGTAATATTTGGAAAACCAAAAACCTCCCATGACTCCATTTACCGGTCCAACTACTTTAATATAAAGGAAAAACAATTACAATATCAGCCCTCACATGTTCCCTAAGCTTCAGAGTCTGATGATTTGACTTCTGTACTTGGAGTTGTACCTTCTTCACAGTGGGAGGTCGTAACATGTAATGCTCCAACATTGCTGCCGCCCCATCATATTCTGCCAGTTCTACAAATGCCTGGAATAATCAATGAAATAATTGAAATTATTGCTAAGTTGTTTGAACTAATAATGCTATGTGTATGGACATGCTTGCCAGTTAGAAATAGGGATGGATAAATCATATATGGTCCTGATTGCGATTTGGATGGCCTCCATTGTAGCAAACAAGCTACAGTATATCCTCACATAATAAGCTGATCCCCAAAGACTACCAAAAATAATGAATTTATGAAAATTTGCATATTAGCCAACCTTACCAATCATAACACATTGCACACCCCTATCACAGCATATTATGGTTGCAGAAGCCAACTCCTTAGTTTTTTTTGGATTTTTTGTTAGTTTTGAACTCTGCTTATATGTGAGAATATAAGGCAGCTCTACAAATGCCTGGAATACTGAAAGAACAAATTTAATTAACACTCATCTTACATTCGTTGATTCGACACGAAACATGGCTTACATTAACGAGCGCACATTGCTAAAGTTAGGAACATGTTTTTTTCCTCATTTTGATCTCTAACTTATGACAAATTACTCGGATCTGCCGAATTTGACAAATAAAAGACTGTGATCCCTTGTAACTGGATTTGGAGTCTGAGTGATAGTGGTTTGGCTTCCCCCACCATCAAGTCCAAAAACGAATAATTGGCTAAGTAATCCCATACCCGAGATGAACTGGTAACAGGACGAGAGGCCGTGGGTCAACATTCAATTAAGCCGTATTATAGCCTTTCCTCGCCCCAGGATAAATATGTTAATCCTATCACATTCATGTAACTAGCTGAACTGGCCTATATTAGTGCTCATACATAGTTTTAAATATAGCGAAGAGGAGGTAGTTGACTTTGATAATCGTCTGATCGTATCATTCCCTCCCATCTACACCAAACTAATCTATTACATGTTATTATTTTCATTATTACGATGACTCTTGTTTTATTTCGCTTGACAAAAAAATAAAAATTCTCTCTCTTTCTCCTTGCTCAGAGTGAAGGTGCAATAAGTCTCATACAAAAAGATCAGCGATCCAGAAGTGTGTAACCAATATGGATGTAACTAATTTTGTTCACCTACTTTACATCAAGTTGTGTGAAGGGACTAAAACTTCTTGGCAAGAGATATATTCACTTGGCTAACACAGACAGTCACGACATAAAGAAAATCAGAGGGTCTCCCGAAGTATGCGAACCAAGATGGCGGACATCGGAATGTAATATGTGTACTAGGTTAGGGTTAGGCCCTAATTTTAGGTACAAATACTACGAGAGGCACTTGGCTAGTCTTCGAAATCATAGTAGGACTTCAGGAGCACCATCAGAATCAAATTATGACCTAACCCTAACCTGGTAAGCACACCCCGGCCTACAGAAGTATAAAAAAATCAAACCTGAAACCACCCTGTTGACACAGCCTTGGGCATAACCAGCAGAATATTCGTCACTTTTTCAAAAGGTTGTGCAAGCTTTATGATGTCTTCCTCCACTATTAATCCTTTTCTACCAGCCTGGTAACGAAGATACAGAACTCGGCCTTGTCGTGCTCGCATTTGGGCAGCCTGAAAGAAAAAAATAGCTTGATAATTCGTAATATGGCAATGTAAAAAATATACAAACAACTCCCAACTCTAGGTAAATTACGAAATTTTCAAAATGTAAATCGAATTTAAGGTAAATTTTAGTTTAGCCTCTATTGTAAAAATTTTTGTCTTTTACTCCAGATCTAAAAAAATTTATTTTGATAAAGAAACATTGGTTCAAAACTTAGGAAATAGACCGGTAGAACGTTTGGTAAAATATAGTTTGTTTTTTGAGTTTATATAAACAATTTTGACTGCTTTCATAATTATTTAAAAAATAAAATTCAGACTTTCAGGAGAAAAAATTAGGACTCTCGACTCCAGAAGGTTCGAAAATATTACTATGGCTCCAATGAAAACATGCAACCTCTTAACTTCGGCTACACAGCCATGGTTATTAACTGAGGTAACCATTTCCTAAATTTGGTAAGTTAGCGGAGAAATTTTAGCATAACAAAGTACAGGGTGTCCATACAGTCCCTTTATAAATTTCAATTTTGTTATGAAGTCAGTTCTTAATAAATCTTATTTAGGTTCGTTTTTTTCAATCAGTAATTGTTCAAGTATTTTTACTTCATTTAATACATCTGTTGCAGCCAAAACAATATATGGTATCGATAAATTCAATTTAAAGTTTTTTTTTTAATTTTATGGACACCCTATATGGTACTCTCTCTAGCTTTACCTCCTCTTGAGCTTCCTCCCTTGTACTCGGTGATATCACACTCTTCGTTTCCTTGCCACCTCGGCCTCCTTGAGAGAATTTACGAGCACCTGAAAAATCATGGGAATGAAAATATACTTATGAGCAACAGAATTCTTCAATTGATCATATCTTGAAAAATGCTAATATGGGTTGAGGAAAACAGAGAAATCTGCATTTATTATAAACTCATAAAATTGAAATTAACAATAGTGCTGAATTTCTCGTTACTTATAGATTTTAATCGTTAAGTATGTTGATAGGTATTTGTCTGTATGTCTGTTAGATGCACGCGATATCTCATGAAAGCGAGATTGAATCTGCTCCAAATTTTGTGCATGTGCATTCATCATATCTCGGATCAGAAGCCTATTGATTTTGGGTGAATTATGTCGTATAATTAGCGAGCTATTAATTAAATTAGTGATGGGACACAAGGTGTCATTATGGAGTAAGAACGCTGTTTTGGGGGATCCCCTAACTTCCGATTGATAAGTCTTCGGTCTCTGACCGATATTCTCGTCTCTGTTGTATGTTGATACTTTCCATGCCATGGACGTATCTATTAGTCTTTCAAAACAGAAAGAGAGAAAATATAGAATCGGTTCGGGTATTCCATTATTAAAATTCTGACTTGGCTAATTTTGTAGCTATCCAAAGAAGCAATAACAGCTTCAATAAAATTTAACAATGATAGTGTTGAAATGTCGCAACGAGGCAGTAATTCAAATATGACATTATCTATAAGTTTCAATAGAAAATTGGGGCTCCCGAAGTATGCGAACCAAGATGGCGGACATCGGAATGTAATATGTGTACTAGGTTAGGGTTAGGCCATAATTTTAGGTATAAATACTACGGGAGGCTCTTGGCTAGTCTTCGAACTGATAATAGGACTAAAATAAGGAAAATTGGAAAAAAAATTATCGCCCAACCCTACCCTGTTACCCATGTTACATTCCGATGTCCGCCATCTTGGTTCGCATACTTCGGGAGCACCAGAAAATTTTTATACATTGATTGTGGTAATAGTAATCAACCTCTTTGCAAGCTTCATAACACGAAAAGTTTGAGAACCTCTGGCTTAGACAGCACATATTCAAAATTTTTAAACATTTTGTACCTTTGCTACTATTTGATTGAAGTTCCCTTACTGCATGCATCTGAGCTGCAAAGATGGATTTCCCTTGTTTTTGTGAATTTGTGTGGACCATCTGAAAATATAATTGATAATTAGTTTAATAACAAATGTAAATTTTATAAATTCTAGCTGATTTGAGCAAATTTCCGTGCTGAGCTAAAGAATTTTATCTAATATCCTATATTCTTGAGTATAATATTACGAATGTTCTCGAAATATAAATGTAAACTATATTGGCCAATAGGAAGGCGTTTTTCTGAAACACACATAGCAATTTACGTAGCTTGAAACGCTTTTTAAACCCCACACTTTTTTATCTCCGGCCAGACCCACTAGGTCAGGGTGGTCCAAACCCAGGCCCGCGGGCCACATGTGGCCCGCCGCTTAATTATCTGTGGCCCGTGTCACATTCGGAGAGTAATCAATAAATAGTATCCCGTGTTGTTTTGATGATTAAATTATTCAGAAAAATCTTTTGACATATTATTACATCACTAATGTCTCTGAATTGACTAGTCTTATGGCTATTTGAGGCAACTAGCAAAGCTGAATGACGAGATTTGCTAGTCTAAATTATTATCTGGCTTATCTTTTTATTATCTTTTTGGTCGGGAATATACGCTAACAATATATGTATCATTCATAGAAAACTGAAAATAGAATGCGGATTCTATTAGCCTGGGATGGGTATGTCTGATACCTATGTGTTTGCACAATAAAAGTGTTTGTTTTGTATTGCACTGTTTTATCTATTCTTGGCACTATTGTGGCCCGCAAACAATGCAAAAATAATTTTGTGGCCCGCGAAGCCGACAACCCTGGACTACCCTGTCCTATATTCTTGAGTATAATATTACAGAATGTTTTCGAAATAAGAAAGCATTTTTCTATATCATACATAGCAATTTTTCGTAGCTTGAATCGCTTTTTAGACCCTCACGACTCCTGACACCCTACATTTTTCGCTCTACCCACCCACCCACTAGGTCAGGGTGGTTCAAGGTTGTCAGCCTCGCGGGCCACACTATTATTTTGATATTGTTCGCGGGCCACAATAGTGTCAAGAATAAGTAAACAGTGCAATACAAAACAAACTCTTTTCATTATTTGTCATTTATCAAGCTAAAACATGCAAAAATTCCATTAAAATTAAATATTTTTATGACGAAACAACACCAAACACATTTTTTTTACTCTCCCGCCAATGCGACGCGGGCCACAGATAATGTAGCAGCGGGCCACATGTTGCCCGCGGGCCTGGGTTTGGACCACCCTGCACTAGGTGATCCGGTCCAACTTGGCAATTAGAATATTCAGTTCCGCCCACCCTTGTTCCAACCATCTGGAAAGATGATCTGACCTCACCACATCTTACAAAAACCTGTAATTGAACGGAAAGGCTTATCTCAATATACAATTGGTCGTCTTATTTATTTTCATCTCCCTGTGAAACGTGTGAATCTCTTTCCAGGTTTAAAAATCCATAATCGAGGGTTTCAAGGAGACAGAGCAAATTTCAAAAAAAAATTATTGTTGAAAGTATTTATAGTTTGAATCATTGAAGCAAGAGTTACAAAAGTGTTTTTAATAAAAAGATGGTGTAAAAAAACAATTTTTTCTCCGTTTTTCCCAAAACCTTTTTTTTCAACTTGAGCAACTTTAAAAAATAGAATTCATAAACAATCAGAAAATATATAAATACCGGTTGTGGCGGCGAACGTCCACGTTGAAGTGGTTCCAGAAAACGCTGTGGTTCAGAGAAATGTCTTTCTGGGGATCTTCGTTGTAAACTTTGTGGCTCTCTAGTTCCACCTAGACTTGAAGCAAGATAATCCAACTGCTTTGTAGAAGGGTCAAGTGGATCACCTATGAAGAATATGGAATAATAAAAAAAAATGATTGAAGATTTTTGTTATTGCCTTCTTCATTTTAGAGTAGAGAAAGGGTATGTAGATAGTCCCACTGAAATATATACCGTATATCAGGGGTGGGCACATTTTTTTAGTACATGAGCCGCATGCTGCAAGTCAGAACTTTAAAAGAACCGCAGAATTTGTGAATTTATTAATATTATCGAAATACTATGAACAGAAAAGAAATTAACACAAGAGTCTAATAACAATAAATATATAAACAAGGCAACTCTGTTTTCATCTTCGTACTTTTTTTTTTTTAATTTTGGACACATCGCACAGTAACTTAGAGTAGACTAACCACTCGCAATCAAGCTGCAATATCGCTGACGCATCGATAAACATTGACCATTGTGACGAAAGATTTGCTGACTCGACTGACTTAAATTCAACGCTACAGCGATTTTCATACTAAAACATTATTTGTCCTAATTATTGACGAAAACTTCTATATGACTTTCAATAAATTAAAAGAGTTTACATTGAAGTTTTCGTAATGCTACTCGTGAAACGGTACTTGTGGTCTACAATAAAAGCGAGACAATCTTGTTCAAAAAGAAACTATAAACCGATTTATTTAGTCTGCAATTTTCATTTGTTGCTCTCGTTCCTGACGAGTTTTGAAACGTTTTTTTACTCTAAAGACGTCTTTCGGCTTTACTCAGCAATTAAAGATTCAGGACGCCCCTTCAAACATTCTTGGCTTCACCCCTGTATAGTAAGACCTGTGAATCTTTAAAAAAAAGTTATCTTTACTGACCCCCCCTTTAATACGTTTCAGTGGCCGCTTGTAGAAAACAACTAAACGAAAACGACTCATAGAAAAAACCTTACCTAATAGTCCACTTCTCAGTCCTGGGATTAATCTCTGGGGTGACATTCCTCTCAACGAAGACGACAATCTTCTTGCGGGAGGGCTCATGCGCCGAGTCAGTGACATAAGAGGGGGTGGCGACACTCTTCTGGGAGATAGAGATGGCCGACGGGGCATGATTGGTGATGCACGACGCTGTAAAGGCGGGGACATTCTTCTAGGTGGGGATAAAGAGCGGCGCTGTAAATGTACATGTTCTTCTTTTTCCCATCGAGATGTGGACTTGGATGCAGGACCTCGAGATCCTCGGAGAATTGAACTCCCTGCCTGACTTTCGGAATGTTCATTCTGTTTCTTTTCAAATGATTAAAAAATTCAGAAATAGATTAAATTTTTTTCTAAAAAATTTTACCACAAGTTGTACACACTCACTCAAAACTAAATGTCACCTATTTCTGAGCAAGTTCACGCTCACTCACTCAGAAGTAATGGAGACTCAATTCTGAGTATTATTGAGGATAATCACTCAGAAAAGACACCTGTCTCTGAACATGGTAACGGGCACTCAATCAGAAGTTAGGTAAACTCATTTATGAGCGAAGTTAAAGATCTATTGAAATACCAAGACCTACTGAAATTATCCGTAATTATGGTGGTACATTTACTATGTGGAAAAACTCATCTTTACGAAAATTGAACGACCATTGAATACCATTTGCTACTGAAATTATATACAGGGTGTCCATAAAGTCCCTTTACAATTTTAATTTTGATATGAAGTCAATTATCAATATATCTTGACCAGGTTTGTTGTATATAAATCAGTAATTTTCTATGTACATTTATTAGATCTGTGAGGGCCAAAACAAAACATGTTACCGATATATATTCCGTTTGCAATTTTGAAACTTTATGGACACCCTGTATATTTAAGGTGGTGCAGATATTTAATTTTCAAAAGAATTAGGTTAAAGCAAGGACTGAAGGAGACATCACTAAAAAGAACATGGGCGACAACAGAAATACCAAGAGGTTCTTAAACTGTATAAATTTAAAAATTCAATTTTAAAGGCAATTTGCTCTGAGCAAAGTTACTGATGACCTTAAATACCAAGTATTACCGGAACTGTATAGATTTATGGTGGTGGTGATTTATGCTGGTAAAAGAGATGCGGGAATATCCATATTTGCTATAGAAAGTATCCTCAAATGTTTCAAAGAAGTATATGATACGCAAATTTAAATAGTGTATAGCTGGAATTGCACAGAACATGGACAAGATTCCATAATTATCGCAAATAAAACGCTGTAAGATATAACTGTGTTACAGTGCCAAGCATCTCTACCGCTTAACTTGCCACGGAAGGATAAACAGGCAACAACAACACCAAATAAGATAGGTACAAGTTAACCTATCCAGGCAAGGCTGATTAATACACAAAGCAGAAGAGAGACACAGACAGTGGAAAGAGTAGAGACTGACTTATATAGATTATAAGAACTCAATAAAAAAAAAAATGGTTTTTGTGTAATTCTCTATAACAGGGCTCCAAATGAGATTGAAGACAAGAAAATACTATGACAACATGACATACTACTGGAATTTTGAAACCATGTTTCCTTGTTCCTATATCTGTTTGACAATAAACCTATATATTCCACACCATGGGTTGGAAACATGCTGTGTATTCCTATGGCTATTATTGCACTGAGCCAACCTCGCTAAAGAATTGAAGAGGTATCGTTAGCATTGTTAAGTCTTCAATTCAAAGAAAAAATCCATTTTATGAGTCACCTCCATTTTCATATCAAAATTCTTTAAAAAAAGTCATTTTTTAGGCGTAAGCTCAACATTGCCTACCCACATCCAGGGAGACGTGGTGGACGTGGGGTTTGACCAGGAGATCTTTAACACTATGCACATCAACAAAGAAGGTCTAATGATTGTCAGAGCATATCAGTTTAGCTCTGCTGGGCGGAGTGAGAAGACTCACAAGGATGCTTAAACAAGATGAAGTCAAGAGTTTATATTACATATACATAGTTGTCACTACACTTGAACAGGCCAGACTATACTTTAGCGAAAAAAGCAATTGGCCCAACTTGTATTATGTAGAAAGAGTTTCTGCTTTTGCCGCAATGAAAAACACTTACCTTGACAGGGTCAGAATACCATTTCTGTTCAAAGCTTGAAAAAGCATCAGGTGATCTCTCTCGCTTCATATATGGACCTGATTGGCCACGATGAGGGAAGACATCCTCAGTTGGCTCAGAAGGGTCATAGAGGTCATCAGGACTCGAAGCTCGATACTCAGATTTAAAAGAATGTTGAACATTATCATGTGAAGACGCACGATGTATAACTTGTCGAAGATCATGTTTTTGTTCTTGTGTTGTGGGACGTGATTTTTTATTTTGGATGCTTTGAATAAGATTGGCTAAATTACTTGTTGAGAGTTCGTCATCGGGTAAGCGACTTAACAGCTCCATATCGCCTTTAGTGAGGCCAAGTGTGGTCATAATACGCCTGACCTCGGGCGTCAACCGTTCAGAACTACGGCTCTCTTGTTTAATAATCTGTTTACGTTCTTCTGAGCGTTGTCGTTGATTGTAAGAAGAAAATTCTGATTCGTGTGAATCAGAGTAAGATTGACGTTGCTCGTATTCTATGTTTTTCTGCTCTCTGGACCAGCTAGTGGATTCTTTTATCGGAGCATTGCCAAGAAGTCCAGGCTTTTTATCATGACCTGAATAAGCACTGAGTTCCTGCTCATAGATAGACGGTTGCTCATATTGAGAGTAGCTTTGCTGGCTGCCATGAGAGGTCACAGAATCCAATAACCCAGGTATGCCTGGGGCAGCACCAAGGAGACCAGGACGACCTGTGTTGCCGCCTCTGATTTTTCCTCCTCGGTTTCGTCCCCCCGAAAAACCACCCCTCCCTCTATTTCTGAATTGAGACATCTTGTGAAAGATAGCTGTTGAAAAGAATACAAATTTTTTCAAAATGTATGAAAGTAAATTTGAACAAAAATATCATAAAATTGACCGCAAACATCGATACTGCAATCAAGAATTTTCTTTTTGTGAGCCCTAAAGATTGCTCTTGACTAGCTGCTCTGGTATGCTGAGATCTACTATGTTTTTGGAAGAAGCAGAATTACTTTTTCGCTGTACACTGTACAGCAATAACCAAATAACCCATTGGGTGAGTTACAGGGCATTTGACTGGAAGTAGATGCCTTTAGCGATAGCATTAGAAATATGGTTTGATACAGAACGCTAAACCAGAGGTGAGCAAGGTTTCTGAACCAGGGGTCAAAAGTTTTGCCCACCCAGACTGTCTGGCCATGTAAGAGTGACGTGAAAAATGAACAATATTTATAGTGTTAAGTGAAAAACGAGAATATCGGTCGGAGACCGAAGACTTATCGATCGAAAGTTAGGGGATTCCCCAAAACAGCGCTCTCACTCCATAGTGACACCTTGTGTCCCATCACTAATTAATTAAAAGCTCGCTATTAATATGACATAATTCGCCCAAAACCAATAGGCGTCTCGCCGCGTCTGGTCCGAGATATGATAAACGGACATGCAAATCTGGAGCAGATTCAATCTCGCTTTCGTGAGATATCGCGTGCATCTAACAGACAGACAGACAAATACCTATCAACATACTTACCAATTAAAATCGATAAGAAACAATAAGCCTCGTGCCCAAACTAAATTTAACGCAATCTCAACAAATTCCTTGAGCTATTTTTAACTGAAACATTAAAATTTGGTTCTAGTTGGTTGTGGCAGCATCAGGCGGGCCAAATTCAATTACCCAATGAGCCGGTTTTGGCCCATACGCCTTAGTTCGCCCACGTCAGCACTAAGAACATCATGTTGATATCTATAGCATAAAGAATATATATAATCAGTACACTCAGAACCCTCTGCAGTAGCGTATATTACTTAAAAAACGAATTTGCATTTTAAACAAGGATTTTATAGCAGTTTTTCAGAGGTCATAAAAGAAAATTTGAGATATCCATCTGACGATATTATGCTCATAGTAAAAAAACTGACGCTCAGTGAGAGGACGTAATATTTTAAAAATTTTTTTGCATTTTCCTAGATACCATATCACAATTTGCAGTGGTTCACGGAGACTAAATACTTGTAATAAACAACTTGACATAAGTATATCACAGCAGTTTGCATATTCCACCCAATGATATAAAACTCTGACAACATTCTGCTCAGAGCGAAGACACACCACTCAGTATGAAAAGGGGGGTCTCGTGTAGTTTCGTACCACAACAACTGCTAGCGAGCGTGGCGTAACAATTTTTGCATATGTTATTCCCAAACACCACCTGACTATGTCATCCAAAATGATGTCTACACTAGACCCGAAGAAGACATAATATTTATAAAGAACTCTTCAACAACTCTCTAAATTTCATACAGAGGTTCATACAGGCTAGATGTTTGGTATAATTAAACTGTAACAAAATGATTTTATAGCAGTTCATTCAGTGAAGCTACTAAGATGTATTTTATTGACAATATTCCAATAGACATCAGCTACTGACTACTTTCACTGACAATATTTCAATAGACATCAGCTACTGACTACTTTCACTGACAATATTTCAATAGACATCAGCTACTTAGAAGAAAGAGTAACCGCTGCAGTGAAAAAGGATGATGGACAACTATAACACACGGACAATTCGACTAACAAGAGGCCTGGTTAGTTGCCTGTCTTGTCGCATTTTCTGCTGCGACGTTTGATAACTACAATGACAAAGAGAACACATCGATATTATGTGCCCAAGAGACATATTTTGCTCATGGTTTACAGATACAGTATACAGAAGAAACTGGAGCCTGTTGTAACGTTAGTGATGTCAGATTGCTCACATTATACAACTGTGTGCCTTTGTTGGCGTTTTGAATTTTGTTGATATTGAAGAGGTCTAGGAGAACAGCTAGATTATAAATCATGTAGTTCGTTGAAATATCCGTTCTACGTATACTGCTGAACATTCACTTTTAAATCTTATTGCTTTGAAAAGCTAGTGTGATAATGATAAGACTAGGCTATTAGGCAGAAATATCTCAAATTACTGAACTAACTAACAAAGTAAGATGATGCTATCAGCGCAAATATTTGCCCGAACCATCGATTCAAGTTCACATCCACAAATAAAAAATTTTATGAGAATAAACAGGATCCAGAAGATAACTATGCTTTCAGCAGATAGAGTAGAACGCCAGACCATTATTATTAAGGCGCTTTCCTTGAGTCTTGAAATTTGCCAACGAATACATAAATTCTTCCACAATTGACCAAATAGCAGAAATGTTTTTTCAAAAAGAAAGTGTAATGGGTCAATATTGGCAGTATGCTTCACCAAGACTTTTAACATCATACAGCTGTTAAGGCATTAGTTTAATAAAACTTGTATGTAAGAAGTTAACAAGCTGTATCCTGAACTTTGTGGCATGATAATACTGTTGACATTTGCCAACCCTATTTCATTTGTACAGTGCACAAGTAAGTTACATAATATTTTTAAATTTAGAACAAGTTACGAAGGTAGACCATTAAATATCATTTTAAAACTTCTTTAAATGTGATGTCATTGTACTGCTGTACTGGTTTCTAGTTGTACAGTTGTAAGGGTTGGGGCGTCACATTGTCACCATTACCTTAGGTACCGGCGTGTCACATTGCAGCAATGTCACACCCGCTGGCCGCTGCAACAAGTTTAGGTGCGCTTTAATTAAACATCTAAAATTATAGAAACAAAAGGGTGCTCCCGAAGTATGCGAACCAAGATGGCGGACATCGGAACGTAACATGGGTAACAGGTTAGGGATAGGCCATAATTTTTTTCCAATTTTCCTTATGTTAGTCCTATTATCAGTTCAAAGACTAGCCAAGAGCCTCCCGTAGTATTTATACCTAAAATTATGGCCTAACCCTAACCTAGTACACATGTTACATTCCGATGTCCGCCATCTTGGTTCGCATACTTCGGGAGCCCCAACAAAAGAAATACACTATATTGGCTGCCAGGGTAACCCAGGTCTTAACTGACACTATTGTATAAAATAAATTATACACAACAGCATTCATATGAGATTTCATTTTTTATGCTAGACTCTCCATTGTTCCGATTTCTTTTTTTTCAGATTCTAAGTATAATTAGGTATCACACAGAACTGACAGAAGTAATGAAACATTGAGACATCCAGATTCAGATGCCTGTCAGCCGGTCTCATATACCTGTATACTGCAGCACCGGAACGGTAGGGTACCGGTACTGTACCGGTATTGCTGTATTGTCACAGTACCGGTACCGTATTCAGGTAAGCCTACTGTTTTCCTTATTCCTATCAAAACAAATGCCGGAAATCTGGTTACCGTGATACCGGTACCAGGATACGGTGTACGTATGAAACGTTAATCACTGAATAAAACACTGCTACACGAACGAACTAACGTACCGGTAGAGTTCATCAGCCAACTGTCTTATATAGAATGAACCGTGGCGATTTGAGCTTAGCGCAGAAGCGAGGCAAAATAAAAATAAATTGTCTGGCGGCAGCCTGATAAACGCAACCTGTCAATCTTTACCTTATTCCCTATTCCGAAATATTAGCTTGTTTTATACATCCAGCAGCATCCCTCATTTTCAATTTGTGTGTATTCCTGAGTTTTCAAAATCTATATATGAAAATGAAATTTACCTTTCCCCTGTCGCATGGATATTAGGCATATGAGGTATAACACAAATATTACCGTACAACAATATAACAGACCGTAAAACGTACGATACTCCACCGAAGCTAGACTTGACTCAAAAGCGTTATAGTGACCACTTGCGACGGAGGGTTTAAGATAGATACGATAAGATTTTTTTTTTTTTTTTTTTTTTTTTTTTTTTTAATTGGTTCACTCATTGAGTGATTTCAATAAATATGTAAAAAATAAATAAACAAATAAAATAAATTATAGTCCACATTCCATTCATGATCCATTTGTTAAATTGAGTTTCACAGTATTTCCAGTTTGTTTCATCAGTAATAAGTATCCAACGATAATAATGTTTTTTAAATAATTACAATGATATAATACAATATAAAAGGAAATATACAAAATTAGTAAATACAAAAAACTTATTATAAACCTGATTTAATATCTAAATTAATGCTTTACATAAATTTTGTAATTCTTTTTCAAAGGGTTTGTCTACTCTGGAATTTTCTATATTTTTTCTATACATTAGGGCCATTTTTATCTGTTTTTTAAGGAGAGCAATGTCAGGTGTTTTATTTTCAAATATTATAGAATTTCTCATTATCCAAATTTTATATCGCACTATTGATAATAAAAGAATAATTGCATTCAAATCTAATGCTGTTATATGACTAAATAAAGGGTCATTAAAATTCAATAATATACAAGAATCATAATTTATAACAAAATTTATTCTAATTAATTTTAATATAATTAAGGAAACAAATTCATCATAAATTTTCTGAGTAAACTCACAAAACATAAAAATATGTGACACAAACTCAGGTTCTATATTACATAATAAACATAATTCATTTCCTGCTACTCTTTTGATCTCTGGTTTTGTTTTCAAGGGTAGAATATCCCATATTAACTTATAGTTGAAGGTCCTCATATAATTTGCCAAAATTTTATTATGAATACTGTTACAAGTTATACTGAGATTTGAATTACGGATAATTACAAGTCTTTCCCCATTAATACTTTTTTAAAACTTTATCATATATAATTCTATGTTCACCCATTTTAATATCATTCATATTTAAACTATAAGTTTTCATAAAATCAATTACGCTTTTATAATATTCATGTGGACTAATCTATGTAATATACTATTATTCAATGGTAGACCTAAATAAACACATAATTGTTGCCCTATGTTATATTCTAAGTAATTAAAATTGATAGTTCTGTCACTAAATATCACATTATTTTCTCTAGTTTCTATATATTCAAAAACACACATAATATACATAGACATTGTAAAAATTGGAATATTCATTATATCGTATCCCCCCATACATTTTGGCTTACAAATGGTCTCTATTTTGAGCTTTCTTTTTCCATTGAATACAAATTTTTCAATAATTTCATCCACTTTTTTGGCTATATTTTTTGGCATCGGGAATATTTTACATAAAAACAAAATTGAGGTAATATCTTGAGCTTTATTATTAAACATTTTCCTTCTAAAGTAAGAGGTATTTTTTGAAGATCAACTGCTATTTTCTTCACTCTCTCCAGACAATTATTCCAGTTCCAATTTCCAGTATTATTATTGGCAATTTGACGCTTAATATTTCTATTTTATCTGCTATGGTAATGTCTTGAAATGAAGGGTCCTTTGTCCATATTCCGAGTTTCATGAGTTTCGTTTTAGTTCTATTCAATTTCATTCTAGTAGCCAATTCATGTTCATCGATAACTTTTAATGCCTCATTTATAGAACTTTCCTTATTTAAAAATAGTGTAACATCGTCTGCAAATCCTAAATTTTTCAGTTCCATATTTCCTGGCGTCACGATTCCTTGAACATTTCCATTCAAGTTTATACTAATTAACAAAGGTTCTATTGCTATGATGTACATAAAAATACTCATTGGGTCACCTTGTCTAATTCCCCTTCCCGGTTTGATTTTTTCACTTAATAACCGTTTATTAGTATTCTAGTCTCAGCACCTTCATATAGACTGTGTAATAACATGATAAATTTATTTTTTATGCCAAATCTTTCTAAAATTCTATATAAATAATCTAAATCTACTGAATCATATGCTTTCATGAAATCTAACGATAATAATGCCTTTCCCCTACTTTATTTTGTTCTTGTATACAAATATTTCTAATAATTAACAGTGTGTCACTTATCCTCCTCCCTGGTACAGCACCTTGGTGTCTATCTATGATGTCTGGTAGAATTATTTTGATTCTGTTGGCAAGAATTTTACTAAATATTTTATAATCTGAATTTAAAAGAGTTATTGGTCTGTAGTTATTTATTAGATTTGCTTCTCCTTTTTTGTATAGTAAAGTTATGTAACCCATTTTCATTTCTTTCGGCATATCATTTGTTATAAATATTTCTTGTATTACTTCAAAAAATTCATCTTTAATAATTTCCC